GTTTAGGGTTTAGGGTGTAGCTGAAGCCCTTAAGCAAACCCCAGACGAAAATTCTGACTTTCTTTGACAGGGGACTACATGACTCTACTCAAAAACCTACCATGGGCTCCTCGTCGGCATGTTGATCAGCTGCACGTAGGAGAGGTAGCAGCCTACGGTGTAGGCAACGCCACCCAGGAGGTTTGGCCACACCTCGCCCGGGGAACGGGGGCTTAGGGATAAGGGCTTTAGGGTTTAGGGTTGTAGGGTTTAGGGTTTGTTTAGGGTTTAGGGTTTAGGGATACGGGTTGGCAAGTCGGTTTAGGAATTACCAGGGCCATAGAAGCAGTAAAACTGGAACACCTGAACTGAACCCCGGGATCGTAGCCCGAACCAAAGGCCCAAGCCCGAGCCTAGAGTCGTGAACATAAGGCCAAAAAGTTTTAAGGTTCTCCCATTTGCTATCTAAGAGACCCAGCTGAAACAACGGAACCCTCAACTGCAAATGCAACTTTCAAGGCCTTTGTACACAGGCTTGATGTGAGCTCGCCAGGCCAGGTTCCCGGTTAAAGACCGAGATCCTAAGCCCAAAAAAGCCCAAACCCCAAGCTGTGATGAAGTTGGGCCTGGACGAGTCTTCCGCCGTAAGCTTCCAACAGCTTGTTGGCGGAGCCCAAGCAGAAGAAGATCGAGCCCAGGAGGAACCTCAGGGCACTTTCAAACAGCTTTTCGGCTTCGGCAGCCTAGGGCTATGAGCTATGAGGGTTACGGTTGCTGGCTCAAGGCTTTAGGGCTTCGGGTGTAAGGCAGTGTAAGGTCCTTAGACGTGCGGGATGTTGGGGCTCCAAAACATTCAAGCTTAGACTTTAGGGTGATGGTGTGGAGACTGCGGGGGGTGAAGGGCAAAGACGACTACAAAGCGGCGTAAAACTAATATGGGCACCTAAATAGTCACCAATACTATTTTGGGGGTTCCTTATTATAATTATAATTTACAGTATAGTGGGCCCCAAAACCCTATTCTGGTTAGTAAGGCCCCTATCTTAATGTTCAGGGCTCCTTGTCAGGATGACCCTCACGAGTTGGATAGCTGTGTTGGGCTATTGAAGGCAGTCGCCCCCTAAACTGGCGTTACACCACCAGCGCTCAAAGCCAGATCCTCAAACCCTGTGCCTTTGCCTTAACGTGCCGTATCCGCTGGACTTGGGGGTTTAGGATTTATGGTTTACACTCTCACAACTAGGATTTATGGTTTCGGGTTTAGGGCTCCAGGGCAACCCAACAACCTTACAGCTACGCCGCGCTGGGCCTCGCAAATGCGATGCTAGGGAAAGACCTTGAACCGGACTTCAAGCCCTTCCACCAGGTATAAGGCGAGCTTTACAGCAGTGTCTTGGGGCTCTTAGTCCGTTAGATACCCCAAAGAAGCGAGCACAAAAGGGACAGCAGTATGAGGTATTCGGCTCTTGGACTGAGGAAGAGGACGTCCGGCATCAAGATTTGGTTTGAAGTTGAAGACTTTCAGAAGACGGCCAACCTTACATATGAAACAGGGTTTAGGGTTTAGGGCTTAGAGTTTTTATTATACAGTAAACACATGAAAGAAATGTCTCGAGGTTGGTGACTGGCCATGAGCGTTTTGAGATCAAGGTTTCGCCCTCCACACTCGAAAGACCGGATTACCGCAACACGACGTGCCCAAAGCCACGCGGCCTAACTGCCTGAACCCTTCTTTCCCAAGCCCCTTGAACATGAGAATCCCTCTAACAACCTGCATCATCCGGGAGGCATCACGGAAATCCAGTAGGCCAAGGTGAAGCGCATGCGAAAGATGGAGGCCGTAGGATACCAGTATTCGAAGCCTCGGAAGCACGTGAGAAGGAATTTTTGGAGATCAGAGGCTGTTTCATGATGGGTCTTCGACATATCACATCCCTCCACCCCACCATTCCGGCACCGCTTAAGCCCAAAACCAGGATCCAGCATGAACACCTGAGCAAGACAAGCTAAGCCCTCCATGAGCCCAAAGCCCGGAACCCAAAATCTATTAAACGTCCTCATCACTTTTTTCCCTCTCGCATCCTCATCACTAATATAACAGGGTTCTGAACAGAGTAATTGGCATGAACTTCCTTTTCTTGTCCCGACGTGCTTGCAGCGTAACTGATAATGTATTCCCCAAACCTCCTTCAAGACAATTACAACCCTGGCCTAATCCCGGCTAATCCCCCCACGGTCTAGAAGGCAAGGGCTTAGGCTCCACGCCCAAGGCTGCACCCCGAACCCGAGACCCCTCAACCCTCAAATCAAGCTGAGACACGTCATTGAAATGGCCCAAACCCTGAACCCGAAACCCATATACAACAAGAATCCTAAGCCGAAACCGAGTAGCGATACGGATCACCGCGGTCCACCACCGACCTCGGCAGTCTAGCTTGACATTCTTTTGCTGCTCCCGCTCCCAACGTTCAACACTCCAGATCAAGAACTTATCCTAACCCCCAAGGTACCTACTATATAGGGTACTAGGGGCCCTATATAGTAGGTACCTTGGGGGGTTAGGGTTACTTGTCCATTTCAGGCTTGCGACTTTAGCGGGGCTGCTGGGTTTCACCACTGTTCCCAACCAATGGCTCTGTATCTGTAACTGCAAGGAAGGCTTCAGAGAATGCCTTCTCCCCTTGGGTCTCTTAGTAGTAGAGTAGGTAACCTGTAACCTCTTTGGGTACTACAATCCGTATATCATCCCAAAGGTTAACCTTTAGCTCCCGTAGGATACGCGAATCAATGAAGATTTAAGCTCCGACCATGTTGGGGAAGGAAATATGAGGATCCCCATCAAGATCCCGATTCAGGGAGGTAGGGCTAGTAGTCGGCACCTGACACCCTTTTTGCATAAGGGACTGAAGCCCTGATTCCCCAAACCCGAAACCTCCCCCAAACCCTAAACCCACAAACCCGAAACGGCTTAACCCTAGGCTCCTTAAGTGCGCCCACGTTGCTGCTGCTCCAGCGCCTCTGCCGTGAGCTCACCTGGCGATTGCCATGAACACGAACCCAGACTTCTGGGAGGATCTAGAAAGTAGAACCCCTAATTTGGGACCCTATACTACTAAAGGGCTCTTTATAGGAACCCCATTATGGGACCCTATACTACTAAAGGGCTCTCTTTATGGGAACCCCATTATGAGACCCTATACTACTAAAGGGCTCTTTATAGGAACCCCGATTAAGGGATCTACTTTGTGGATTTGTCCGGGGTTTCTGGGAAACAGCCAAACATGTTTGCCGCCTGGGACCCTGAGCCAACCGCACGGCCGCCCACAACTGCGTACCGTAAATCTGCATCGAAAAACCCTAAACCCTAAACCCCTCTCTCTCTCTCTC